ATTTTCATAAAAGAAGTTATTTAGGTGTTGATTTTAACTGTAATGTTTACCTCTGAGTTAAAACTTAGAAATCGGAGGTGGGGGTTGATAAGGGCTCAAATAGAAAGTGCTTTGAAAATAATAATGCCATCATGCACAAATGTGACTGATACAATTGATGTATAGATTGTTGTAAGAGCCCTCAATAAAATTAATTTTTTTAACCCTTCAAAATTATTAAATGTATTTCAGGTAATTGTGCCACAGTTTTTTAATTGCCATTTTTCCTGTTGCCATCTTGGGTACAGGTTCAGTGGTCGCCTCACAATGAAACCATTTTGGCTTCCAGTGGTACTGATCGTAGACTGAATGTCTGGGACTTAAGGTAAAACCTTGGATTAATTACTCCTTTATTCAGTTGCAGAAGCCCCCGTGGTATGGTGGAATTCGGTGTCATGGTATAACCAGAATATCAGGCTATTAACCAAAAGGACCCCACTAGCTGCCTCGTGATGGACCCCAGGTGGTGTAATTATTAGGTGTTAGGCTGCAATGTGAATGGTTGGCAGCTTGAAACCAAGAGGAGTTCTGAGGTAAAACACTGGGCTTTCTGCTCCTGTAAACTGTTAGCCTTGGAGCCCCTCAGGGGTCACGATGAGTCAGCAATGACTCGATAGCAGTGAAAGCTTCCTGGGGAGAGAAATGCGACCGTCTTCCACTAGATTTATAGCTGCTGGTCTGTCCTGTAGAGTTGCTATGAGTTAGACTTAAGTTGGCATCAATGAATTAGATTCTGGTTTCTTTGCAATTATATTTTATTGATGTTTTCAAAAGGTGGTTGGCTCCAGGTAGATCAGTGTTAACTTTTAAATTCATTCTGCTCTAGTAAAATTGGAGAGGAACAATCCCCAGAAGATGCAGAAGATGGACCACCAGAGTTGTTGGTATGTCATCAACACTAACCACTTCCTGAAATAACCCGAAATTTAATATACTCTGTTTTTCATATCTTTCATATTCTGTCTTTCAGTTTATTCATGGTGGTCACACTGCCAAGATATCTGACTTCTCCTGGAATCCCAATGAACCTTGGGTGATTTGTTCTGTATCAGAAGATAACATCATGCAAGTG